TCGCCAAGCGCTCGGCACTTTGAAGAGAAAGTTGCGGGTCTTTCTGATGAGACCTTAAAAACCGAGGCCCCGTGTCACGGTAGGCGTTGGCACGATAAAGAACCCTCACTGCTCAATGGCCCCGAGTGCGGAGTAAAGGTCCAAATTTGCAGCCCTTTTCCGGCATATGGTGATGTCTCTAGATGAGTGAAAAATTCTCGAACGGGACGTAAATCAACACACAATCAATCATATGCGTCAATTTATGAATGTTTTGAAGGGAGTGGATTTCTTTCATTATGTAGTCAATCATTAATATTTTTCCTCGACAATTCATTCTGGAAGTATTGTTAAACACTCTTCCTTTTAACTTCGGTACTACTCTCACATTAAACGTATGAATGAATTTTCTTCCACAAAATTACTTTGATTAAAATTATTCTGATTCTGCATACAAGTACCCAGAAATTGATATTAAAAAGATGCTGAAGTTCCTTATTGACAATATCTATACAGTTTTTGGAGACTAGGTCTTCAAACAATCTGTTGGAATTCTGATGGACACTAATTTGGTTCTTCTATTAACTATATTATATTAGTTATATTCCTATGAAGCAGGATTTATTAAAAAAAGAGACTTTTTGCTGTGACTTTCACCTCAACATTAAGATATATCGACGACGTTTTATTATTTTACAATAGTTACTTTCATTCATATTTGGATGTTTATCTGACTATAGAACAGATCCCACCTCTGGTGTTTACAAGAGTCCATGTTTTTGCCTTGTTCACGATTCATTTTGTCTACCGTATTTACGAGATTGATCATTGTTCGCTTTCTTCATCTTCTCACACTCTTCGAGTGGAGGTCTAAACACCGGATTCTTCAACACTGGAGGTCTCAACACAGGAATGTTCGGTCTTGGAGGTGGGTCTGCTGCCTCTGCTGCTACACAAAGTGCTACTAAATTTTTGTTTTCATTTAAGGAAACGATAGTAGAAAATCGGTTGTGAAGTGGGTTTTTTTCAACTTTGTTAAATTAGCGTTCACAGAAATTTATCATCATGAAATGCAAGTTGTAATTAATAATAAATTTACACAGATGATACAAAGAACACCTTGATTTTATCAAAATACCACATCTGATAATTAAACAATAAGTGATTTTCAAAATTGACATTTCCCTGAATGGAAAATTAAGGAAAACCAATCCGATCATAAAACCCATGCAATTGAATCAATTTTAATTAAACCAGAGGATTATTTTGTGCAAATAATGAACAAGAATTACCATGAATGCAATTAAGGTGAATAAATTAATGTTACCAAAATTAACAACAATTAAATGAGAATGATTAGCATCAAATTCCCCTTTCTTTTCGACTTCCTCCTAATATTTAAATGCCCATGGAAAAGACATTGGAAAGTGTTGATAGAAATACATATTATATAGAAAATAAACATGCAATTTTCCGTAATAAGAAATAAAATATGACGATATAGTAACTTATGTAAACTCTCATTAGACAGAAGATGCAGTTTAACGATGGGCAATATCATTGGTATAGTTTTATAAATATTTGACATGAAAATTTGATATGATGTTTGTAAAGAAAAGAAAACAACACGTAAATAAGAAGTTTGATTGCCTCTTATTTATCATAAAAAAAACTGGAAGTTAAGATTTAGGCTGTTTAAATAGAGCTTGGATGTATTTATATTGGTAAAAATGAAAAACACTTAGATTATATCATATTCACACACACACAGAGAAAGAGAGAGGGGGGGGGGGGGGTTAGCGCCTATCATAAAATCGTATTATCGAGATAACATGTAGTTCGCATTTTATCTATTAAGGGAAAAGGAAAAGAAATAAAGAAAATGAAATAATGTAAACAAAGCATACACAAGGAAAACAACAAAAAATAACGACCAAAACAAAACACAGAAAGGAAAAACTAAACACAAATAAAACGAAACCGAATAGGAAGAAAATTGAATCAAACAAAAATTACTAAAACAATGTTTTTAAAAAAAAAGTTGAACAAAAATAAACCCAATATAAAATTCAACAAAACAGTTTATACTGTAATAATTAAAACACACAATAAATAATTAAAGACATACATTAAAAAATAAAATGCATGATTTTATAAGTTTGATAATCGATAACAGTTGCATTAAAGCAGCTACCACAGAAGGAAATACAACCTTTTTGGTGAATTTGGTGCTCTTAAGGATGGATTAAAAATAGTTGAGTGGCAATATACGAAACATCCATGATTCTGCATTTTGCCTATAGTAATTCTGATTTGATTAAAGATTTAGACAGATTACTTGTAGATATGTAGATTACAAGATCAATAAGAACTTGTTTTAGCTAACACTATTACAATTGCGTTTCAGAAAAACTTTGATTTAAATGTACAATTGGTGTTCAAACTTTTACTCAAATTCCTTGTCAAAGGGAGATGTTCTTTAAAATCTTATTTTCAACACGCCTAGCAACCTTTAATTCGACATTTAGGATTCCAACAACCTCTTTAAGTCAACTTTTCGCACATTTTATTGTCGTTATAATGACCCTGTTTGTAAATACAACCTAGATTTTGTCGTACATGTTTAATACCATTTGTTACGTCTTTCTTTTTACATAAAATCTGACTACGGAGTACTAGCACCTGATCCTATTTTTCGGGGGTACGTGTTTTCGTCCTGTTTACGATTCAATTTTTTTCTTGATTTATGAAATTGATCACTGTTCATTATCTTCAAATTTTACATAAGATCATCGACCATACTTTATCAATTAACTATATTCATTTTTATTCATATATTGATTCGGTATATCTTGTGAACTCAAAATAAAAGACACAACAGAATCAGACATATATTTTTATATTAGGATGTTTTAATTTTGAAAGATATTGATAGCAAACTAACAATTCAACTTATTGATAAACATGGTGATTTCGATCAACTTTCCAATCGTCAACTTCCATCGTCATTTAATGCAGCAATATATCTGTATCACCTGCATTTGTTGTTTATCTCTTCCAGTTAAATTTCCAAAGTGAGACAGGCTACAGACAAATAAGTTGATGATGCAAGGGCTTCAAGAATCTCATTTAAAATCAGCATTACGTTAATTCTATGATCAATACAGAGACCTTATTGGCAAATACAGTAGTCTTTAGGTCGAACGTTGACTGATGATTTTAATTAGAAACTGTTTACCCTGAGCAATGGCTCACTTATGAATATTTGGGTTTTATGTTGAAGTACTAGTAATGTTGACAGAAATTTTAGATCAAAAACTTATGTTAATAACTTGCATTAATAAGTTGCAAGTCTACAAAATTATTTTGACAGTATTAAAGAGGCTGGGGGGTTGTGGCCATTTTTAGACTATATTGATCTCCTTTAGAAGAAGAGCTCCATATGAACATATAGAAAATGATCAAATTTTAAAACTAAACTTTTTGAAATTTTTCTTTGCCAAATGATAGTTGACAGCTTAAGATATCATATCTAAAAAATTAAGTTAAATCTGGTGGTTAATTTGTGGTTAATTTGTTGACCCCCAGCCTCCTTAAGTTGAATGAAAACAAAATGATGTTGCATCTTGAATGCAAGATGTTATATTCTGGCGAGAATAAGTAAATGTACAAATATTAAAACCAAATTTTTCTAGAAGGATTCGTACCTTGCATATCAACAAAATTATAATGCATGTTGACAAATATTTTGCATGTTGGCATACTTTATCTTGCATGTAAAGGGTAGAAATATGCCATCATAGGTACATGAAAATTGTATCAAAGCTATAAGGCATTTTAAAGAACAAGATAAAGAATAATACTTACTAAAAAAAAAAACCAAGAATGACTAAAGTTTACTTCAAACCAAAAAAGGACTTTCTGCATCTTGTTGCATATTATATCAGTATATGTCATTGTATATTACATATAACATACAATGTACCTGTAAACATTTGTCCCAATTCATATGTTTCATATATTTTTACAAATTTTTTTTAATATGATGTTATTCGTGGATTTTAAGTTTGAAATCAAAATATTATTTGTTGTCAAAATTATGTTTAATGTGTATATTTTTCTTTCCTATTTTTCTAATTCTGGGTCTATTTGGTTCTTGTGTCTTTCAATGACCATTCCTTCATTTGTGATAAAAATATTGAAATGTCAACCTGCATGTTCATGTAACCAGCGATGTACATTTAAATCACATTAGAGTATAGGGTTTTGATCGACTCGACGAAGAACTGAGCAGATTTTTTAGGCAAGAAAAGATTTATTTTGCACGGAAAAAAAACTCTTGAAACTTAAAATAAATCCAGGAAATAAAATTACCTGTAGAGGTATCAATGGATTTTGATTACGTGCAAGTGGTCGGAAATTAATAGCCTTATTATGCAATGACAAAGAATAACTCATTTAATTTTTTTTTAAGTGAGACAAGCACAATTGTGACACGTATCTTTGAAGTACAATCTTCTCCCATAATTATAAATTTAATTTGAGCAGATGATATATCATTTAACAAGAAAGAAAATAGATGAGTCGAATCAACCAGAAACACCGACTTTATGTTAAAATATGAATAAATGAAATTCCATTCATCAATGTACATATAGAGAGAAAAAATGAAATAAATAAGAAAATTAATAAAAAAGAAAATTCTCCTGTATGAATACAATCATTTCATAAGTCCAAATCGTTTTTTAAAGTTATTTGCTCAAGATACTGTTGGTGAAAAATCTGGTAAAAAAAAAAGGATTAATTTATTTATAAGAAATGTCTTGGAAAAAAATTCTGCGTAACGCATAATTTATTAAGATTTGGCAGTTCACAACTAACTTTTAATAATGACCAACTCTAAGGAATGTTGATGTCATCCTGTCAATCATAATACTCTTCCTTAAAACTTAATTTAAGTTATTATTAAGACAAGAAATTAATCACATTCACCACCCTTCCGTGTGACGTAACCATTTGGAAACTATATAAACATCGATAATTCGAAAACCCTGTACAAACAGTGGTTGCCTTCAGAAGACCGTTCAAGCAAGGTAAGATTACAGCCATAAGATATTAGTAACACTACAGTTATTCTAGATACTGTTGATAAAATTCCTACATTGTATAAATGAATCAATTCCTATCAAAAAAGTTCATAACACTCTACATAGTAATGTTATTTTTCTCTTAAATAAATAATTGAACTTTTTTCAACAGAAAATGTTGAGACTCATCTCCCTTGTCTGTATCGTTGCCTGCGTCTTCGCAGACTCTTACCCAAAGGGTGACTATTACCCTAAGAATGACTACTATGGTGGATGTGGAAAATATGGATGCACATACGGTATCCACTCTCAAGGTCCCTATGGTAACTTTGGAGGATTAGTCAGCTCTACAAGTGGAGGACTTAACACCGGATTCGTCAGCACCGGAGGTTTCAACACAGGATTGCTCGGTCTTGGAGGTGGATCTGCTGCCGCAAGCGCTGCCGCCGCCGGAGATGCTGCCGCTGCTGCTAGCGCAGCCGCTGCAGGACAAAATGCTGCCGCTGTTGCCGCTGCCGCCGCTGCCAATGGAGCAGCTGCTTCATCTGCTGCTGCCACCGGAGGTTTTGGATTGAACATTGCCCCATACTACTTCAATCAACCAGGGTATTTTTATAATTTCCCAGGACAGTATGGAAACTTTGGTCAATACTACACCTATCCCAGACATTACTACAACAGTTTCCCCATCTTCAATAACTACGCCCCATATTATGGTCTTGGAAGTGGATCCTCCGCTGCTGCTAGTGCTTCTGCTGTTGGTGGAAGTTCTGCTGCTTCCGCTGGTGCTTCTGCAGGTGGATTTGGTGGATTCAACGGAATTTATGACGGAATCTTCCTCGGAGGATCAAGACATAATTTCAGAAGAAGACACAGCAAGGTATGGTCTAAATATCATTTGTAAGTCTTAACTTAGCGTCTCTTGTACATCTTTTCTTCATTTTCTATCGAACAAGTTGAACCCTAGTTTAATTAACATAGTATATTAATATAATTTCCATCATATATATTCTCTATATTTTATTTTTACCAATAATTATGTGCTTATTGTTCTCTGCATATATTTCAGGTGTACTAATGGATCCGGCCAATATAAACTGTTTCTGGTGATGTTGTGTTAATTTGTGATAATAAATGTTTTATATTTAATATAGCTTTTTTTATTTCTTAAATTCAATGCTGCAAAAGAAAAGAAAGATGGGTATCCAATGAAAGGATTTTTTTAAAGCTCTTTAAAGTAATCTGAAGTATAGTGTTGAAATTTTGTGAAGCTTCCTGTATATGAATCTTTATATTTGATTTAAGTTCTTAATACAAAATTTAGAAATACTTTTCAAGGAATAATAGAAATATATATATATATATATATATATATATATATATATATATATATATATATATATATATATATATATATATATATATATATATATATATATATATATATATATATATATATATATATATATATATAAATTGGTTTAATTTCTTAAAGCATGACAAGTTCGTATAAATAAAAGTTTATTGATATTGAGTCATTATTGTAAGAAATAATACCTCACTCTACTCAGAGGAATTGAAACTCAAACCGATAAATTAAAGGGCTTCATTTTTTAATATTGAGGTTTGGAGATGTACAAAATATTATTTCCACTACAATTCATCTACTTTGAGCATTTTGTTTTGTTTTATTGGTTTTTTTTCAATTGTAAATTAATTGAAAGAGAAACTGGGCTGTTTAGATAAAGAGCACAATTATACAAAACTGACAAACTTCCTCAAATATAGAGAGAGTGGAGATGAAGAAATTTCGTTTAGAAATCGTTTTTGCTTGGATTACGATATTGTTGAAATTAAATGCGATAATAAGAGGCATGTTTTTGTGTGAAAACCAGACAAAGGACTGAAAGTATGCACCAGGGTGTACTGTTAGTGACCAGGCATATACTTAGAATAAAAACATTATCCATTCAATCTGTCAATTAAAATATGCTAAGTCAGTTACATAAGTTCCATGTGCTGATATTGTTACAGTGGGTAAAAGGTTTAAGAGAAAATGGGAAGACAATTAATTATTTGTTAAAATCAAACCATTTTGATTTTGAAGGTGTACATTCTGGACTCAATAATAATAAAAAACCATATTCATATATACTAGGATATTACAATGTGAACGATTCTCGATTCTTCATTTCTGATCAGTATAAGGTCGGGGTATATACTCAAACTATACATAGGGATATTTTATCTCTATCGAGATATTTGTCAAACTCAAATCGAGGTACCATCAAATCACTAATTTTTGAGGGGGGTTGATTTTTGTTGTTTTTGAGGTATGAAGAGACCCACGATTTATGCTCACCACAAAATGAAAAAGTGTCAAATACAAAACTACTCAATCATCCTTCAATCATAAAATCAAATCCCCACGAACCCATTGTTTTCATCAAACAAGGAAAATTTGAACCCACGAGCATATGTGACTTTACAGTATTTTACGCAGGTGTATATAATTTCGATTCCTTTGAAATTGTTGTACGTGATTTTTTTTCAATTGTAATATCCAGAAGTATCTTACTTTAAGCAAAATACTTAAAGTATAAAGTAGCTTATTGATTAAATCATTTTGTTACATTTTCCCTTTTAGAGAAGGGAAGTAAATGGTTATTGATTTTTAGTGTTTAAGATTTTGTTTTCATCTATTATTATTAGAAACAAATGTACCTGAAACCATTTCAAACTTTCAGAATTCCAAGAAATGCAAATTTATACAAATACAAATTTAGCGATCTCAGCTAGATTTCTACTGGATTTCTGGAAATACGTCAATATATCGAACAATGATCAAACTCATAAATCTAGAAAACACGGCAAAAACACAGACCCCTAAAACACAAGAAGTTGGAGCAGGTGCTTAGAAGAGGTGAGTATCTCCTGTCGAATTGTCACACCCGCCATGAACCCTCTGTATCTATCATTCAAACGGAGCAATCCGTAAGATGCATAACAATATTGTCTTGTATGTCGATCAAAATACGAACCGAATCAATTTAGAAAGAGGTATATTGAAAGCCATTATAGATAATGGGAAAACTTCATGAATGATTTTTTGCTGTTTGCATGTCTAATGATCTATTAGATATATATTTTTATTGAAGATATATATATATTTATAATAATCCTTTGACGATATAGTAGCAATGTAATTGATGAATGACATTACTGAACATTCTACACTTTACAATGCACTTAATCGGATTTAATTATTGTTTTATTTACTACAAATTTTATGCATGAAATATATTTCAAAGGCTGTATACTGTATTAATATTGATTACAATTTTTATTTCTGTCTTTTGATTTCAATCGGTGTATAATTTGTATACATGTATTTGGGCAAGGTTTTTATTTTAGTTTATTTTATTTATTTTTGTGTACGTGTGTTTTGAAAATCCTACTTTGCAATAAATAAATTGTTTTTCTATTTTTCGGACTTTGTACTTTTCAAAAAAAAAAAAAATTCATTAACCCATTCTTTTTTTTAATAAGTTCTAAAAAAAAGGGGGGGGGGCACTTAAGCAATAGCAAATGGGTCCTTTTTAGTTCCATTTAAAAAAAATATCTTGTTTTGTAATAATTTAACATTGGTGGATATACTTCTGATTTAAAATCACGTGCAACATCACCAAGACTGGCATGGATAGCAAACTACTAGGGCTTTTTTAATTGCTGTAGATAATCCAGAAAAATAATACCGAAGCTACTAACATCAAGGGCAGGACTCGACTGTTGAACAAGCTGATGGTGGATCGATGTGTGCACTTTTGTCGAATGATAAATTTTGCGTTATTTTATCTATGAAAAAAATTCGAATAGAGCTATGTAAGTTTTCTGTAGCCATAGTGATAAAACTAAGAGTTTTGAAAGCTTGCATTTGAAATAATAGAATAAAGAAAGCATAAGTTTCTCTATCCATTCTAGGCAAGGATTTTAAATTACAAAAAAGTATTTAGGTGCAAAGGGGCGAACTGTTTTATTGTACATTTGTACTTGCATTTAAGTTAATCTATTTTGTTATCAAAGTTATTTAAAGTCAGAAGAGCTTCACAAGAAAGTATCATAAAATAGAATATTGAAATAAAATTTTGAAATAAAAAAAATCGTGCAGATAGTTTTCGTTAAGTGTTGAAAAAATAAAAATTATTGTTTTTTTTTTAAATTTTTATATTTAAGAAACTTATTGGAAATAAGCTTTTGAACTTTAATGGTTTATCCAGAAATCAAATACATGTATATGCATGTAGTTTATTGTACCTCTGTATAGTTACACAATATTTTGGCTTTTAATACCATCGTCTTTCATTATGGATGTTTAAAATTTGATATTTATGTATGATGACATTTTAAGTGACACCAAATTCCCGTTACCTTCCCGTTTTTTAATAAATCAAACATAGATACATGCAAACGTATATAATATAAAGCATAACATGTCTTTGGCGAACGATATAAAACGTATTATTTTACAGTGAGCAACTTTGACTAACAATAATCTGGGTAGAAACTCGCGTAACTTTTTAAAATAATTTTTCAACAGGTGAGCTCAATATCGGTAACACGAGTAAAAAGCTCTCGCTTGCTATAAAAAATATTGAAAATGTCCATACATTTTTTATATTTTAAGTACCAGCCTAATGTTGTTCGAATTTCTTTTATTTTCCGCAATTTTCTAATACATAAGGGCTTAGTAGTCACTGTAGCCTAGTGGTAGGGCGCTCGCTTCGTGATCGGGAGGCCAGGGTTCAATTCTCGTTCGCTGCTCCACGTCAAACCTTAAACATAACAAGAGGCCCAAGGGCCTTAACGGTCACCTGAGTATAATACAACAATTTAGAAGTTAAATACACTGATAGATGAAGCTTTGTTGCCCTAAAGCAAGAGAAGTAGGAAGATCAGGATCAACAAAATAATTAGTCTAGTATTCAGTATCAACTCATAAATTAAGTTCTAATCTGTCCCCCACTTAACACTATCACCATGCAGACTATTAACAAACTATTAGTACTTCTGTACTATTTTTAAACCCATAGTAAGACCTCTCGCATTGACCTCTCTTATGGTCTTTGAAGAACTTTTAATAAGATAAGTTATTTTTGTCTCATTTTTATTTATCTATTACTTACAGGTCTACCTGATTATTAAAACTAAGAAAATACTTTTTGAATTATATGATAAACATTCTTGCATAATTATCTTATTCTATTAACCTTTCAAATACATTATTTACAGTGATTAATTATCAAAGGTGAATGGAAAAGGGGATTAACTTCTCTCAGTAGAATACAAATTAATAGAGCCCTGCCCAAGACTAGAATGCTTAGACAAATGGTCCAGATGTTCAAAAATCTGGTAGATACACGCTTACTTATACCATTTAAACTTTTACTCAGTTTTCTTCCAATATGCCCAGAAGTAGAGAAGAATTTCACAGGTACAATGCATTTTCACTAAAGATTCAACAAAGCTTTACCCTAACACCAGAACCCAAGACCAAGGGTCAAGAAATTTACAAATTTGGAAGAGTTACCCTCATCATCATAACTATGGACTTCAAAGAATTAACACTTTTCCACTATATTATCAAAAGCCCCTCCCACCCCACCCACCCCCCTTATTATGCCAGAACCCCTGACGCTAGGACCACAAGATTTAAAAATTCTGTTCGAAGTTCCCATTTTCATCATAGCTAAGCAATTTATTTATCAGCTCAATGCTAAGGAGCAGACAGGATTAATTAATGATTAATTAATAGAATTAATGCTTTTTCACTATATAATCAATAGAGCCCCCCCCCTTCCTCAAGAACCCCAAAAACTGAGGCCATATATTTGAAAATTTTGGAAGAGGCATCCTTGCCTATCATAATCATGTACTTGGTTTGTTTAAATAATCTCCAGTAGCAGAGAAGAAGATTTTCAAAGAATCATTGCATTTTCACTGTATAATCAATAGAGCCCCGTCCTAACACCAGAACCCCTGACCCTGGGGCCATGAAATTCACAATTTTTGAAAAGGCATCCTTATGCATCATACCATGCACTTAGTTTGTTTAAATAATCTCCAGTAGCAGAGAAGAAGATTTTCAAAGA